ATGGTTTGAAGGTGTTGAGTTAAAAAACACAAAACCAAAAGAAACCAACCTACCCAAAACCCACAAATACTTCACATCTAAGTGTGAACCTGGTGATTTTCTAATACAAAGTCCTAATTTTGTAAGCAATTCATGATTCAAAAGCCTCAAGTTAACAAAAAAGCCTTACACATAACTAGCTAGGTTTTTACAGCCTTTAGATCAGAAGGAGGAATATAATAATTATTCTCGGCAGATTCCACTGTTGTGCATCAAAATATGGGCTAAGCTAAATGCTGCTTACGGAACTCCAGAAGTGTAGTACTGGAAAGATCAAGGTTGCAGGTCAAAGCTATAACGCTCACTCATGTACTTCTCATACTAGAAGAATTTAAATGCAACTTCAGTGATGCACTGGTGAACAGTTCCAGCTTGCCAGAATAATATATGAATGTGCTTTCGAGAGTTTAGATCAGAGTTGGAATTATCACAGAATCACAGAATTTTCAGAGTTGAAAGGGACCTCTAGAGATCATCTAGTCCAACTCCCTTGCCAAAGCAGGATTGCCTGGAGCACATTACTCAGGACTACATCCAGGCGGGTCTTGAAAATCTCCAGAGAAGGGGACTCCACAACCTCCCTGGGCAGCCTGTGCCAGTGCTCTGTCACCCTCACTGTAAAGAAGTTTTTCCGTGTGTTGGAACGGAACTTCCTGTGTTCCAACTTGCACCCATTGCCCCTCGTCCTGTCACTGGGAACCACCGAGAAGAGTCTGGCTCCATCCTCCTTCAACACACCCTTTAGATATTTGTAAGCAATAATAAGGTCTCCCCTCAGCCTTCTCTTCTCCAGGCTAAAGAGTCCCAGCGCTGCTGGCCTTCACTGGACTCTCTCCAGCAGTTCCCTGTCCCTCTTGAACTGGGGAGCCCAAAACTGGACACAGTATTCCAGTTGTGGCCTCACCAGTGCTGAGTAGAGGGGGAGAATGACCTCCCTTGACCTACTGGTCACAGTCTTCCCTATGCAGCCCAGGATTCCATTGGCCTTTTTGGCAGCAAGGGCACACTGCTGGCTCATTGACAATTTACTGTCTACCACTGCACTTTCTTATATTGGACCTCATTAGGTTCTTCTCTGCCCAGCTCTCCAGCCTGTCCAGGTCCCGCTGGATGGCAGCGCGGCCCTCTGGAGAGTCAGCCACCCCTCCCAGTTTGGTATCATCAATTCTTCATGTTGTTGCTGTTTAAATGGGGTCTCAGTAGGTAATTTCACGTGCTGATCTTTAGGTGTTTAACTCTTGGTCACCATGGTTGAAGACTTCAGTATATCAGAATGATGAATTATCTGAAGCTCCTTGATTTCCCTTTTTAATTAATTTGCATTGGTAAAATGGGGGCATATGGAAATGCACTGCAAATATCACCCGGTGCCTGTTGAGCTGAGATCTCTGATTTGAAGAAAAGATCAGTTAACCTTCTTATAGTCTAGAGGGAAAAAATGGAACATGAAGTCTTACTACAACAGTAATTAATTCATATCCATCCATGAAAAATTAAGTAAAAGTTGCTTGTTCTCTATAAAAGTGAAAAGATCTCCTTTAAAAAAGGGGAAAATTTGACTATCTGCCTCAGCCCAGGGATTGTGATGGCTGCGAGGCTCTGCTTTGGAATTAAATGTTGAACACTGCCAGATGCCAGACATTAGGAAGAGGCTGAGTTTTGTTGGCAAATGGGATCTGCAAGTTAATTGGTGTTTTCTGCAGGCTTCTGGCTGTGAAATGAAATTGGAAGCCCTTTAGCCACATGGATAATACAGGACCTGAATACAAATGTCACATGTCACCATCAGGGCCCACTGTGAAACAATAGTGT